GAGAGAGAGAGAGAGAGAGAGAGAGAGAGAGAGAGAGAGAGAGAGAGAGAGAGAGAGAGAGAGAGAGAGAGTATACAGTGCTTTCCAGCCATGCGCGCCGAGAGATAATGAGAGGCTATTTCGATTGATAGGGTGAGCAAAATAGGAACGAATCTTCCGCCAGAACATGGAAATATACACTCCCTCTTCTCTTTTTTTTTTTTTTGTGTGTGTGTGAGAGAGAGACACACACACACACACACCCACACACACACACAGAGAGAGAGAGAGAGAGAGAGAGAGAGAGAGAGAGAGAGAGAGAGAGAGAGAGAGAGAGAGAGAGAGAGAGAACAGGTAAGTCTCCAAGCTCGGGGGTGACGGCATGCTACTTCGATGATAAGATGAGCAAAATCGAACAAATCTTTCGGTAGAACATGGAAATATACACTCCCTGGTTGAATCTGCCCGACACCTACGGCCACGGGACAACACTTTGGAAATATACACTCCCTGGTTGAATCTGCCTGACACCTACGGCTACGGGACAACACTTTGGAAATATACACTCCCTGGTTGAATCTGGCCGACACCTACGGCTACGGGACAACACTTTGTGCAATCGCCGGCGCGGCGCGTAACAAATACCAACGCGCGGGCCCGCCCGCCCAAAAAAAAAACCGTACCCTCGAACCCGTGCCCTGCAAAACGGGACGCGAGAGTGTGCAGTAAACGACAAAAAGAAAAAAAACGACCTGTCCCATCCAACCGACCCCCGGGCCTCAATTTTCCTGGGCCCGGAGGGAGCGTCTTCCGGGGACCGCTTTTGCCTTTAAGCATTAGTAGAAAATGCGAGGATATGGGTCCTCGGCAGGCCTAAGGGGGCCCCCTGCAGCAAATGTGGCCGCCCTAAGTGAAGGCGGGCCTAACAAAACACCAGAGGCCCTAAGCTGTCAAATTCGTATCTGGGGTCCAGGCAGTTTCGTCGCGCCAGTTGGTTGAGGAAAACACAGGCCCAGCAGCAAGGAAATTCGACGGCCTTCTAGGCTTTTCCGAAAGTGCAGGCCCTGGGCGAGATTTGCAGCCTCATACACAGACAGTTGAGAGGCCCAACTGAATGAGGCCCAGTAGCTGCACCATGGGCGCAGCATCCTCGGGCCTACAGGAAGCTTCTGGGCCCAGGCCCAGGCCAGCCAGGCTGCGAAGGCAGGCAGACTCTTTCCATATAGGAAAGAGCCCGCTGCCTGGGTCATTCGGGGGGAGACTCGCATGCTGGCAGCAGCGCTGCTGGAGCTAAAGCTCGTGTGCTGCTGCTAGCGCTGAGCGGCGAGGTGCAAGCACGTGCGGTCGTGCAGAGAGCAGGGCGCTGCTGACGGCAGCGCCATAGCCCAGCCTCCATAGCTGGCGGGCTTGGATGTACAGTGAGGCGCAGGGGTGGTCTTCGGGTGTACAAAGGGAAGACGTGGGAGAGAGACAAGAGAGAGAGAGAGAGAGAAGGATGATGATGATGATGATGATGTGAGGGCACATACCTGGTATTGGCGATGGTCTGCATGGGCGACATCTTCAAGTACTTCGGTCGCTGCTGATGTCAACATTTGCATTCTCAATTAGTAGGCTAGTAGTAGCTGTGTAGGGAGTAGGCTGGGCGTCGAGCGCCAAGTAGGGAGATAGGGACTGGATACATATGTTGGTGGTGGCGAGAGCAAGCTCTCATTGACATTGGCTTTCAGTGCTACTATTCTCCATTGGTGTCATATTGGTGCAATGCTACTTTCTGAACATTGTGATACAATCTGGCTTTCAATGTGATTGTGCAATCTGAATATTGTCATCTCGCTTTCATTCATTCCTGCGCGAGCCATGTGGAAACGCTGCTTGAGCGACTTGTGCGAGGTGGTCTGCAGAGTGCCCGAAGACGAAGTCGGCAGAGTAGAGGTTGAGTAGCCATAGCCAGTAGGGTTGAGCGGCCATAGCCGTCGTAGGTGGTAGGCGAGTGTAGTGTGTGCGTGTTCATTTTCCTTACAATTTGGTATCAGAGCTGGTTCGAACTGCGCTCATTGGTTCTTCACAATAGCTGTTCGGTGCTTCGCACGAGTTGTGGGGCAGTGATAAGGCTGGGGCGTTGGACGTAAGGCGGCCCACGGTCGTGTGGGCGCGCCAGGAAGCTATGTGGTGACATTAGGGGTGTACACTCGATGATGAGAGCTCGCTGATGTGGCATTTAAGGCGAGGTGGAACTGCATTCTGCTGTTGGTTGTGCCGAGGCAAAGACCGGTCATCATAAATGCACATCAGGTTGCCGGTGAGAAATTTGTGGTTGGGGGCAGCATTATGAGGTACGTTGCTTCCTTCCTTATCTACCCTCTTCATTGCTTCTTACC